GTATTAAATCAAAAGGCAAGCTGCAAGGAGGAGCACACGGAGCAGAGGTATTTCCAGCGCTGCACAAAATCTTCTCAGAATAGTCAGTGCAATGTCTACACTACAGATACTGGTATGTATATCCACTTCTATCTAAAAAAAGGTCCCACTAAAACATCAAAGAAACTCATGCCACAAGACATTATCGTAACAAACGAATATATTTTCAAACTTTGCAGCAACTAGCTATGTCTGTAAAAATGCATGTCCCACACCGTGATGTTAAACCTCATAGTAGGGTTTAATTGAGTGTAACTAAGTCAGGGCATTTGAACACAGGTGTCTCTTCTAGCAAAGGTAAATAAAAACAGACAGCTTTGTAGGCACAGACAGTCAGAAACTGGTTCTGTACACTCTCTCTCTTCTCACGTTTGAAAATTTGATCCTGAAAGCCTGATCGTGGAGGCTGAAGTCAATGCCACCAGTCTGCAAGTTGTTTCTGTAAAGCCACTGATGCAAAATTAGGGAAGAGCCAGAGTTACAAAGCTCTTCGCCAGACCAAGCGTCATAGAAAGAATTCACTTTGTAGAGGATGCTCAGAGTTATCTGGAAAGCTGCTCTGAACAACTTCATTGCCAGACATTTTGGTATGCCATTACTCCAGGGACCAACTTTCCATGTGAGCTGGTGGAGCCCAGGGCTGCCCACGCCTTCCAGAAGACCCCAGGCATACTTCCTCTGACACAAGACCTGAACAAATCAGACCTGCAAATGTCACTGTAATCCCAGCCATAATTAAAACTGAGCTTTCCCAAACGCAGCTTCCTAGCTCTGGCAGAAGGGCCAGGCAGCCCTTACAGCTTCTAGACCTGAGCGTGCTCAGGTCCAGCCCCGCTTCATCTGCTCCTCCCACGCCTTGCCCGTCGGGCAGCCAAATTACTCCCTGTCCATTCCACCCTGGTTTGTTAATACTTTCCACGTAGCTGGTACTAGCCAGGTGACTGCCTGCATTGTAAGGCATCAGCTATAACGCCTTGAATCTTTATACAGCAGTAAGATGAGTTGTTTGAAAGTCTTCATAAAATTGTAAGCAGATAGTTTAGACGTTTTGATGAGAAGAGAAGGTTTTATTGTGATGTGACTGACAGTCTCCGTGAAGGGTATTTACAGTCTGACTCTTATTATTAAAAACACCATGACAGGTAGAACTTGATGTGGATGTATAATGGGGAGACGATGGGAAATTATGACAAAAAGAGCTCATTAAACGTTTCACTTTTTTAGAACAGTTAATTTCACATACGGAGCCACAATTTCTAAGCGGAGCGTGTACCACTTAACACAAGCTCTTTGGGGTAAGCTTGCTTTCTTTGTCTGGCTTGATGTCTGTTCTCAGTGAACAGAGAATAGGAGAATTGGTCTAAGGAAGGAACAGAGAGAAAATAGGACTGACTACAAGAAGTGTGAGTTGATACAGAGGAAGGGAGAGATACTGGGAGGATACTGGATATCATGACAAGTGGGTGTTTGGAGCTGAGCTGCACGCCCGGCAGAGGAAATCTACAGAAGAGTAGGGATTTTCTGGGAAGGGATGCAGCAAAAAGATGGGGAAATACAGGAATTATATTGAGTAAGCAATCTTTTCATACCAATGTCAGAGAAGTGACTTGGCAACCAGCCACGATTCATAATTGAGTTCAGTGGGTACGTTCAAATTCTGAGATCCGAGACTCTTCCTTTCCGCCTCATTTGCACCATATTTACATTACTTGATATCAGAGATCATGAGGAGTCACACTATAAAGTACTTTGACACCTTCTGACAAATGGCCTCACACAATGGCACAGCATTCTGTAAGTACATCGGCATATACAACGTCGAATACTTCTGCTTCACAGCACTACCAGGAAGATGCTTCATACCTTCAGCCCCAATGGGATCCCATAGGCACAGAGAAAGCAGTATTTGCCCAAATGGTCCTGGTTTCTTAAGAAGCTATATCTTACTGAAATGTATTATGAATGACAGTTTTTCAAAGTAACCTTTGGAAAATGGATTCTGACTTTTAGTTTTTACACTGTGGTAGATCTCACCCCGCCCAAGCCTAACTATTCAGAAGTTGTCACACCTGCAAGTCACTTAAAGTTCCTCTGCAGGCACGAAAGAATGATGTCAAGACATACATTTATCTCCACCTGAGAGGGACACCTCATGCAAACAGGAGGAATTTCCCCGTGAAGTGGCTATTTCTCTCCACAGGGTACAGAGGGTCAAGGGTGAGGGCACCTAGATGACTACTTCAGTATCACTTACTTCTGTGTGCGGAGACTAGAGATAACTTGCCTGAGAACACACCAGAGGAAAACAATCCCAAGATGGAAAATCGATCTCTGACCAGGGAACGTGAGCAATTCTGTTTGAACTCAAGCGAAACTTGCTGCATTTTTATTAAGTGTTATATTTATTGTCAGGAGAGAGAATTCATGGTGCCTGAAACCTATTAGGAGCTACAAAAAGTTTCTCATTTTCTTCATCCATTATTGAATTAATGAAAGCAAGATCTCCTAATAAAGAAAGTGTCCTTATATGTTTAAACCAGGTAGATGAGCTAGATTATTTGCCCTTAGATTGAATTTTAGAGGTTTATATAATAATGACAGCTATAAATTGAAAAAAAAATTATGGCAAGTGTCTCAATGACAGAGAGTCTCAGATGTGGAAGGGTGAGCAATAAATCAGATGGGCAGTGGAATATTAAATTGCTAATTTTAAGAGCTATTGCTGCTATTCTTTTTTTTTAATACATACTAATAAAAAGGTGAAACAAAAATCTCAGCTACACATTTCTTCCTCTTCTCTTTCTTCTCTTTTTCTTCATAAATTAAAGTACATAACTTGTTTGGAGAAAAAGCTCTGATCACTTTAAATTTAACCATGAAATAGCAAAAAAAAAAAAATTAAGTCTGCAACCAGTTTCATGGAGATGACAGATTAAATATATTTGATGATTACAGAGTAGGTTCCATATGCCCTATATCTCATAGTCATGCTCTTTACCAGGACAGTCTAACACCAAAGCGTCTGCAGACATGACTGCAAGTGTACTGTACACTCAGACATACTGCAACGACCTAAATTACAGAATATACCCAGAGTAAACTTGAAACATCGTTGAAGGAATAATAAAAAAGTCGCAGGAAGTGTACAGTGGAAAAATTGTAACACAGAACTATATCAGAAATGAATGAAAAATCTACAGCTATTCCGTGCCCACAAATACCTTAATTAGTTATGCAACATGAGCTATTTTACTAGATTTTCCCAGGCAACGTGATGATGCCTCCGTCCTCCTTGTGGCTTATCATGGAGTATTTATGGCAAGTTTTGTTTGTTTGTGCAAACCACAGAAATATCACAATTCAGGCCCCCATCCAGCCCCTCTGCAGCATTTATCTTGTTTATTCCACATCTCGGTCTCCGTGCTCAGCCCAAGCTGTGCAAGTTATCACACCCTCATGTGAAAGGAGTCTCTCTCTCTCTTGAATACAGGTATTTTTTCCATGCTTACAGTAGACTGAAATTCCTGACCTTTTCCTTTGTTGTTCTCCATTCTCACACAAATCCTCAGAAATACTAATTTTCTGTGTAACCAATGCAATCAAGGTATTGGTTACAATTGGTAAACAATTTCTCAAGGTATTTATAGCACAAACTTATACTAAAAAGTATAACCCACCCTTGAGCAAATGCATGCCTTGTTGCTAAGGAATCTGTCACTCCACTTCTTCTCTCAACCACTTGTTACCGTTTCTTATACATTCTGGAGATAAATGCTTCACCTCTTCAAAATGCTAATACACAGAAAAGGAATGGTGCCATTTGGATACAACAGCATATTACCCCTATTTTTTAATAGTCCACTGTCCATGCAAGGCACAGGACAGCAAGAATTAAGTTGACAGTCTATATTGACCCTTAGAGCCTCTTGTATAGTTAGAGCACTACAGAAATAATACATAGCAATACTGGGAGGAAATCTCCTTTTGCTGATTACAGCCCACAACAACCAGGAAAGCAATGCAATACATAGAGAAAAAATTCTGCCACTGAGGAATTTGAGTGAGATCTTTTTGCAGACTTAATTTTGATGTAGTTCCTTTCAGAGTTTCCCACAGCTGTTTAAACTAATGGCAATTGCACATATCTCTGCCTTACAACGCTACAGCTCTTACTAAGCTACCACAGAAGTTGGTTTTATTGGAAAAATAATTGCTTTTCTATGGTGTATTTAGGTTGGATTTTGATGTTACTTGTTTGGTTGGTTTTTCTTCCCAAATGACAGCAAAATAATTCTAATGCAAATTCCCATTTTTTTGGTAACGTTTGATTTGAAGCTCCTTATGAAATCTTTACCTGTCAGCACACTGTATTCACCAGGAAGTCTTCTGAGAGGTGTAGACATTATAGCCGCAGAAAATCACCATAGAGGTCACAGACAATGTTCTGACATACCTTTTCCTAATGTTACTTCTCTCGACCTCCACTCTATTCAGACCTTGCCTCCCCTGCTGTCCTACTAAACCAAGCTGTAAGGAGCACAATATATAAAGTACGGCTCTGATAGAGCACACGGGAGAAAACGCAGCCCGTGCTCGCTCAGAGTGATAAGCCTTGTACAGCATTGGGAACAGAGGAACCCTTCTAATCCAGGCAGCAATGATTCATGCATTAACATGCAGGAGGCTCATTGTCAACTCTTAACCACAGATAACACATTTATAAATGGTGACTTTCATACGAATGAGTTGGAGAAGACAGAAAGGAGATTTAAGTAATGAATGAGATGGATATAAGTGACATTACAATCCTGGTTACTCTGAACCAACCCAATCAAGTCACCACAGATCACTGATAAAATTCCCATCACGAGGAATGTACCAAATGTTACATACCATAATGAAAGTCACAGAAGCTAAGAAACACGTCATCTTTACTGCATATAAATAGGGAAGATACTTACACTTACAGGTTGACTTTTTGGCACATCATAAACACCTTCCTTCTTTTGGCTGGTAGGAACCTGCAATAGCAAATGAAAACTAAGGTCATTACCCAAGCAAGTTTGATGAAAAATTGAAATCTGCAACTGATATTTAAGTACAGGGTGGTCATTTAATACTAATGATATCAAGCGTGGCTCCCTTTTCATTCAAGCAGTAACATTAATGGAGACAATACTGAAGAAATAGAACATCTGTCTGAATTTTTTAAATCCTAAAGCCCAGTAGTGTTCAGAAATGGGATTTTCATTCTCAGTTAGGTTCGGCTGCATTAAGTTCCGGTGCACTTGGATCTCCTTCCTACTTAATTGGTTGTTTTTTCATTTTACTTGGGGGTTAGAAGATGCACATGGAAGCCATGAGCAGGTCAGTACATCATCTTCCTCCGTGGCAGAGATCCAGAGTTACTGATCTG